TGGTGCATTCTATCTAGGTAAAGCCATAACATCTACATGGAGACAAGAAAGTGGCTGACCCTTTACATAGTTACATTGTGCACCATCAAGTAGACGAATAGCTCAAAATCTGAATGTGAATAATCCCCATAGAATTAATTAACTCGATTGTTACTGGTGTGCTTGGCATCTGTCTGTTTCTCAGCCCAACTGTCCATTTCAGGCCTCCTGTTAGCAGAGCGCTTCCACAACCAGAGAAGCTACAGACAAACAACGTGGGCAAAAAGAAAAGGCCTATTGAGGTATAGAGCACACCAAGCCATTTAGTATTTAGCTTTTACTTTGTCATTTTATGCCTGTTTTTACTTTAAACAGGACTTGGTGCTGGAGCTGGTATTTGGTTACCGTGGTAACGATTGCCGCAATAATGTGCACTACCTAAACGATGGGGCGGATATCATCTACCACACAGCATCTGTTGGCATTGTCCTCAACCTGACAACATGTGAGTAGAGCTCAGACAGGCACTCATACTTTTATATCCATATTATTATTAAACCTTCTGTTTTTCTACAGCTTGCCAAAGTTTTTATGTTGAACACAGTGATGACATTTTGTGCCTGACAATCAATCAGCATCCTAAATTCCCCAATGTGGTGGCAACTGGCCAAGTAGGTATGTTTGTGAGAAGCTCACCTCCTATGTTTTTATCTGGACTGTGCACTTTCTTCATAATAGCAGCTCATCTGGCACAAATCTTACTGATTTACTTACAGTATTTTAATGCCTTTAATATAAAAATAATAATACTTTAATCAAAGATAATCTGAGAGTTCATAAATATTCTTTTATCTTTCCTAGGAGATACTGGTGACATGTCAGGTAAGACATAACCTTTTTTTGCTTAAAGAAAGACAGCACAGTGTAAATGAAACACGTCTGTTTAAGTTGCTGCCATCTTGTGGTCAACCACTATATTTGTAAGAAATGCTTTATCTTTGACTATCTTTAAGTCTGTTGACATTCACCCATTGCAATTACTTCCACAGCCACGTCTCCCTCCATCCATGTGTGGGACGCTATGAGCAAGCAGACACTGTCAGTACTGCGCTGTTACCACTCGGGCGGGGTGTGCTCTGTCAGTTTTAGTGCTACAGGAAAGCTCCTATTGTCTGTGGGCCTGGATCCTGAGCACACTGTCACCATCTGGAAGTGGCAGGAAGGTACACCTGCATCTAACATCCACACATACACATACACACACACATACACACACACATACACATACACATACACATAAATCATTCACATACACTTTGGACTGCTTTGGACAAAATGCTAACAAAAGTCTTTGTTTTTAAGGTGCCAAAGTTGCCAGCCACATTGGTCATACCCAGAGGATTTTTGTGGCTGAGTTTCGCCCGGACTCAGACACACATTTTGTGTCTGTGGGCATCAAGCATGTGCGCTTCTGGACATTGGCGGGGCGAGCTTTGCTCAGCAAGAAAGGGGTGCTGAGTTCAATAGAGGATGCACGAATGCAGACCATGCTTTCTGTGGCATTTGGGGCTGTAAGTGACTTACATTTTAAGATTATTCTTCAAAGATATTTTTTAATAGTGTTGATTGTCTGCTTCAATATGCTGTGTATTGCTGCATCGCTTGCTCTGCTGTCTTAGGCCACTAGATTAGTGCGAATTTCTTTTCTTTTCAGAACAACTTGACATTTACAGGTACCATAAGTGGAGATGTGTGTGTGTGGAAGGAACACATTTTAGTCAGAATAGTGGCCAAAGCTCATACAGGCCCAGTGTTCACCATGTACACGACCCTTAGAGATGGCCTCATCGTCACCGGAGGCAAAGAAAGACCGTAAGTGATTCACTGTGCCATTTTAATTGGCTGACTTATTGTATGATCAAGCATCTTATTTATAGAGTAACCTCATTGTCTGGTCTGTAAGTACGCATTAGATTTGAGTCATATCTGGCTAATGAACTGTTTCCTGTGCAGGTCAAAAGAAGGAGGTGCACTGAAGCTGTGGGACCAGGAGCTGAAACGCTGCCGAGCCTTTCGTTTGGAGACGGGACAGATCATAGACTGTGTCCGATCTGTGTGCAGAGGAAAGGTACAGCATTCATTACACTCTCGATCATCATCATAATTATACATGCTTACATTATTACTACAATTGATTTGACATGTGTATATAGGGTAAAATTCTTGTGGGAACAAGAAATGCAGAGATTATTGAAGTTGGTGAGAAAAATGCTGCTTGTAACATCTTGGTGAATGGCCACATGGACGGTCCCATTTGGGGACTTGGAACACATCCTTCTAGAGATGTTTTTCTGTCTGCTGCAGAAGATGGGACTGTTCGTCTGTGGGACATCCCAGAGAAGGTCAGTATGCTCAGTTAAAGAATTTATTCCTTTAAAATTGCTGTAGTGGCCAAACTGAACCTCTGCTACTGAGATGTGCACAAACAACGGTGGCTGATGCGCTCTAAATGGTAAATTGTGTCTAAATACTATTCTTAACAGAAGTCTATGAGTCCATGAGCTGTAGATAAAATATCACTTTATTTCCATAAGAAGGGACATTAAACAAACAAATCTCCATTTAAAATGAATGGTCAAAAAAAAACATTGGCCCCTACTGGGTCGCACACCTAATTACATCATCAGACAACACACCTTTATACCTGGCCTGAGGGCTAACAGGCATAATTCAAGGGCACCACCTGCAGGCCAGCCAGACTCCATACACTTTGGCTCTGACAGTTGAAAAATAAATCATTCTCATAGATCTGTATGTTTTTGTGTGGAAACAGAAAATGCTGAATAAGGTCAACCTTGGCCATCCTGCACACACCATCAGCTATAGTCCCGAGGGAGACATGGTGGCCATTGGGATGAAGAATGGAGAGTTCATAATCTTGCTTGTTGCATCGCTCAAAATATGGGGCAAGAAAAGGGACAGACGTTCCCCAATCCAGGATATCAGGTGAGGAACTTTATTTTCCAGAATTAAAGTAACGTTAAACAAGTAAAATAACAATGCGTGTGCTTTTTGAATACCGTAGGTTCAGTCCCAATTCGCGTTACTTGGCGGTGGGTTCCAATGAGAGTGCAGTGGATTTCTATGACCTGTCTCTGGGCCCACAACTGAACCGCATAAACTGCTGCAGGGACATCCCCAGTTTTGTCATGCAGATGGACTTCTCTGCTGACAGCTTATACATTCAGGTATACAATTGTCTATCGTGCAAGTTTGGATTTGTTTGGACTTTTTGTTACAATAATACAGATGTAATGCAAACACATTCTAAGCTGTGGTTTCTTGTGACCCAAAGATATCCACTGGTGCTTACAAACGACTGGTGTATGAAGTACCATCTGGAAAACAGATCACAGAACAGACACAAATTGACAGAATTACTTGGGCCACCTGGACAAGGTATTTTTTATTCCTACAAGGGAATGACACATTTATGATGAACACACTCTGAAGCTTTTGTGAATATGTATGTTTTTTGTTATTTGTAGCGTCCTTGGTGATGAGGTTGTTGGAATCTGGTCCAGAAACACTGACAAAGCAGATGTAACATGTGCCTGTGTGTCACACTCAGGCCTTAACATTGTGACAGGTGATGACTTTGGAATGGTGAAGCTGTTTGACTTTCCATGCCCAGAGAAGTTTGTAAGTATTATTCATACTCATTATTATATGTACAAATGTTCTAATTACAGATACAAGATTAAAATGTTCAAATCAAATATAGATTTTACTCATGTACAGTTGTAATATTGACCTTTTCTTAAGGATAAAGACATCAATGGCAACGTTGTTGATGTTTTCATTTAGTGTTATAGTCCTCAAACTCTAATTATCACTGATTATCCAGTCAGAAAAAAGAGACAAATGTGAGTCTCTCTGTTGGGTTGCACCTAAATCCAGTTGGTTTCAATCTAAAATGCCTCTTTCTAGTCTGAATATTTACTACCTAAATCCCAGCACCTAGAGCCAGTCATTGATCAATGCTAGTGCAGCCTTTGCTGCTTGATGAGTGAATTCCTTTCACATGAGGCATTGCTTGCCCATACTCAGAATGAGTAAAATTTGTATGTGTGAATCAGTAAGAATACAGGCCTACTTTTTAAATGGTATGTCACTTATAAGTCAAATGTTGATGTTATTGTTAAGCTTTGAGAACCATAATTAGGTGAGCACTATCCAGGGTGCCTATGGATTTGCGCTCTGTTGCTGCATCCAGTCATTGAGAACAAACCATTGTTTGACTTTGTGAAACTGTAACAGTGCTTGCACAATGAATTAACTATTGTTTCTAACTATTTTATTTCTGTGTTATTTTCTACATTTTTGTTGTTAGGCTAAACACAAGCGTTTCTTGGGGCATTCTGCTCACTTGACAAATGTACGTTTCACAAACGGAGATCATTTTGTCGTCAGCGCTGGTGGAGATGATAGAAGGTAAAGCACATGTTTACATATACTTGATGCCTAACCACACATTGTTCCATTTCCCCTTTTTTTAGTCTTTTTGTGTGGAGATGTGTGCACACTCCTCATTAAAACCACACAGAGGAACATCCTGCGTCACAGTTCACAAGCTGTCATGATGAGTCCTGTATGTGAAAGGGCAAAAGGAAAGGACTGGCTGCTGACTAATGCAGAAAATGGTGTAATGACTTACTGCCTCAAAATTAGGTGCATGCATTTGTGCAAGATTTCATTTGTTTACTTATTTCATCAGCCCATTTGTTTAATCACTCACTCACTCACAAAAACACCCCTAATACTGAACTGTATGTGAACCATTTCAGAGTTAAGTTTTAGAATCAGATTTTCATAAGGCAGTTGTGGTTTATATGCCTATTCACTACATACTGACATTGCCATTTTTATCATGTAGCAAACGCAACTAGCCTTAAATCTTGTGAGGGTTGGCATCTTTTTGTACTTTTTATTACATATGTTTGTGTTTATGTTCATTCTAAATCCTGTGGCCTTCCTCCTGAATGTAACATCCACTGTTATATTCTGGATGTCAGCATGCCAAAGCATACTATGCACTGTACACTGGACCTGGTCACTGTGTTAGCCCTAGTGGGTTTTTGTTTTTGATTTGTGTATGTGATTGTGCTATTGACTGGTTGACCTCAAGCCTTCCTCTGCAGTGTTCCCTTGTTAACCTGTGTACATGTGGTTGAAGATGTAGGTGGTAAACGAGTGTGCATGGCTTACTAAAAGACAATCTGTCCTAACCGTGATCCTCATTAAAAAACAAAACAAAGAGCAGCTGCACAACTGGTGCAGACCTGTCACTTTCAGTGTGCTGCTATGTTATATTGTTGCAATTTTATGATAAAATGTGTAATTATTTTCAATACTAATTGTGTAAATGTGTTTTGTGTAATAAATTATATGATACACATAAATGGAATGTTTTATCAAAGAAAATATATAACAAGTGCAAAACATGTAACGTATGAATACTAAAATGTTGCTGCATATTTTGATTTACATTACACCACTGTAAATATCATTTGTACATATTCTTTTTGGATATTTTTGTGAGCCATTTCTTATATTCCATTTTATTAAAAAATGTAAAAATAAACTTTTGGTGTTAAGTAATTATTGCATTATAATTTTATAATGTAAAACACAAAATACTTGGAAAATATTTTTTTGTTTAATGTTTTAGGCATTTACATAACTCTTCATACAAGATAATTTGTATAATTAAAATAAAATAAATTAAAACAATAGTGCAGCAAAAAAATAAAGTATTTAATTACACGTTATTTACAAAGGAAAGCTTTGAGGACTGAATTAACTCAAACTCTTGAACTGTAACTATAAATACAAAGTAATGATGTACAACTCACTAAGTGGGATGTCATTTGGCAGAAGTCAGTAATGAATGTTGTGTATAGATTTATAATCATAGTTTGACAGAAAAAGAACTTCCACAGGAACAGCCATGGTCAGCCTGGGGATTCTTTAACACTTGGAAAGAAGAGCGGATCAACTCTTCACTGAAGTCCAATGTGGATCCTTTGACATAGTCCAGGCTTTCCAGGTCTACAATTACACCCACACCTTCTTGTTCAAATACTCTGCAACAAATCAAATGTAAAAGTGTTTGTAATACAATATACATAAATACAAAATGAAAATAGAAAATGTGACTACTATACCGGTCATCTTCATTCTTATTCCTGTCAACAGAAAACTTGTACTGAAAGCCAGAGCATCCACCTCCTTCTACGTGTATTCTGAGGTATTCACCCTTCTCCATGATCTCCCCCAGTCTCTGCAAAACAACAGTCCAATAAAGTGAATACATGCAAATTGCATGGTGCAATAGAGTCATATGTTGTTGTTGTTGTAGTACAGACTTTCACACAGGACTCGGTTAGATGTATTTTGTCCTTGGGAGGATCCGACACATCTGGCCTTCCCTGAACTGACGCACTGTTGAACCGTTGAAATCCCAAAATATAACGTGACTGGGCGCATACTGATGGTTGGTTCACCTTTATGTTCATAAGAGTCGATGCCCTGCAGAACAGGAGTGGTAATATGCATGTAAACACACACGGAGCAGCAGATGCTAGCAGGTCTGTTAGCTAAAACTGGCAAACTAATGCTAAACAAAACCAATGCATATGCTTCTAAGACTATTTATGGTTTTTACATACATTCACTTTTTTGGTCAATAATTTACGCATATTCTTACCTAAAAAGGCTTAACGCTTTTGACTTTGCCACAGCTGACATAACTCTTCTCATAGATGACATCTCCAACAAATAAATGACTCCACCCTCTGCAAAACTAAACGCCCACTCGGTACAATTCAATTTTCTCATTCGTTAACCTAGTGCCAATCATGACTCAACATTAAAACGATCTACTTTGTTTTTTCTAATAAATAAAAATAACGCACCTATATAGACTGTCTCTATATTCTACAATTTAATAGTGTGCCTTAATGTGGTTTCGATTTGTCCATTAATGCCGAAGGTAAACATAAAAATTCCTGGCAGACAAAAATCAGGGCGGAAATGCCAAAGAAAGAAACCGATCTCGTGATTGTGGCCGCGTCTCATTTCTCTTTCCTCGCTTCCTTCTCCTTGATTCCTCCATTTTTCAGCTGTCAATCAAGTGTATCATCTTAAGTGGTGTCCCAAAGAAAGAAACAGAAGGAAGGAGAGTAAACATGAGGAGGCAGATATCAGAAAAATAATCAAACTTTAGTGGTATCAGTGAGGAGTTTATATCCTCTCTCATCGTTGTGTCTCCTCTGTGGGCGGGACTTCCTCACCCATTTCGTGCAGAATCAAGGAGAAGGAAGCGAGGAAAGAGAAATGAGTTGCGGCCAGAGCGTGGATCTTGTATGGGACAGAGACACAGCAACACAAGGAACTAAAACGATCTGGGCGGCGGACTGGTCTGTATTCTTTCGGTACTACGACAACTGCGTTCCTTAGCTACAGGTCAGTTTCGATGTATTGCCATTTATCATGATAAGAAAATTATGTTGCCTTTTCAGATCAGAATTCTGTGTCAATGACTTCTAATAAACGTGATCATTTTTGGTAACTTTCTGATGTTTTTGAAGAACGACATACAATCCCACCGTCATATACCAAGGGATTTGACATAACCCTCTCTGGTGTCTTTTGCCTTTTAGTGTGACGATTAAATAAGACGACATGGATTCTTGGAAGACTTTGTTCCTTCTATTTTCTGTGATTGGGTTCACCTGGGCCGAGGAAGTCAATTTCAAAGACTGCGGTGAGCATACCTGGCATACCTTAACACTCTTATCACTCTGGACGTATAGAGTATTGTAAAGGTGGACTCCCTCACAAACCACTAAAGTGTGATTTAAAAGAAAAAAAATATATATATATTATTATTATTTTTAACGCACCCGAAAGCCCCTACAATGGGGAGAAGTGAACATAACACAACATAATCACCATCAGACTTTCAGTTCATGTATTCTGCCTGTGACTAATGTGATGTTTTGTCTTTTTTTTTTTTTTTTTTTTCATTTAAGGTTCTTCTACTGGAAAAGTTTCCACAGTGAACATAACCCCCTGCCTTGATCACCCAAATCCATGCAAACTTAAAAAAGGAGAAAACTACAGCGTCAATGTAACCTTCCTTAGTAGTAAGTGGCCTTAATATTTTGTATTGTGATCAGCTCAGTGTGGTTAAAGTACCTTTTTTAATGTGATATTTATTGGGTTTTACAGATGTGGAGACCCTGAAGAGCACAGCTGTGGTGCACGGTGTTATTGCTGGAGTACCTGTTCCTTTTCCTATTCCAGTCAGCGATGGTTGCCAGTCTGGCATTAACTGCCCTATTGAAATGCAGAAATTCTATAACTATGTAACCACATTGCCAGTGAAGACAGAATATCCATGTGTAAGTACTGTGGAATAATTTATCTTTTGGAACTTATGTTTCACACTTGGACAGTCTTCTGTACTAAATACCTTGTTCCCCTTTTTCTACCCTATTTAGCTCAAGTTGGTGGTTGAGTGGGAACTGAAAGATGATGGTAGCAAAGATTTGTTCTGCATTAAGTTTCCTGTTGAAATTGTGAGCTGAAGTGTTAACGTCGGCGAACTAAATAGTACTGAGAATCACATCAATTTTTTCTTACGATTGCATTTTATAACTGCATATTTTAAAATGTTTCTGACTTAACTGTTATTCTTTAGAAAAGAAATCAGATATCTTTTGATATGGCTTCTCACTAATAACATGTCAATGATGTCACATTCCTAGCTTGATGGCTGCTGTGTAGTCGGAAAGTACACAATGTACCTTTTTGTTTTCATGAAAATTTCTTATTGACATTGTACTAAATTGTGTAGATCTATATTAATAATTAATAAAGTGATTTAAATTCTCCCAAATCTCATCTTTTGTTCCTGGACAAATGGAGTTTAACTTTAATTCTATTCTGTGTAATAGAAAAGGCAACATCAGCAGATTTAAAGGTTTGAACCTTTATTGGACCACTAAACAAAGGTCGAAGGTGGGAAAGTGTTTATTTGTAAAAGTGGTCTCTGAAAGAGGAATGTGCTTCCAAGATGCCATGTAATGAAAAATCTAATTTAAAAGAATTCAGAGTGGTCATTTTCAATATGTGCTGAAATTAACAAGTTAATGGTGAATGAATATTGTAGTTAATTTCACAATGGTTTAGATACTGAAATATAATCAGATGTGATACAATCTTTTTTTTTTTTCATTGTCAGCTTTGTCCTTTTATCGTCCATTTTGTTTTAGCCTCTCCAGTCGCTGAAGCAGAGCATTTCCAAAAGCCTCTCTGTAGCCCGGACTCAGGGAGTCTAAAAGTGAGTAAACTGTCTCATGATACTGAGTGTTTACATCCTCATTAACTTGGTCAAAGGCATAGCCAACCACCTGTGGAATATAAAACACATCAGTGACATTTTAGAACAATCATAAAATTAGACCCTTTCAAAAAACATCTTACCCGAAGTCCTGCTTCAGTCAGCTCCAGACAGTACTGGTTTCTCTCCTTTGTTTCAACATTAATGTAGGCCACATCTAATGCACAGTTGAGACAGTGTGACACATGCATTTGTGCTACGGCAAACAGGACATCATTGACAATGGCTTCTGCTTCTAATCTCATGTCCTTGACTCCTCCAAGATCAATACAATCTTCATCACTTGAGGAAACAAGAGTCTCTTCTGGCTGACAGTCAACCTCCATCTCTTGAGCTGAAATAGTACATGGTTGAAAAATTGTTTATACATTCTGCAAATACACGTTTTTGTGTTCCTACAACCTGTTTATGAGAATGTTTTTTAAATATACTAAACAAGCTCAGACAGCACAAACTCAGAACTCAAATTTACACATAACAATAACCCAACAAATCATTTTACCTGTTACAGCCTCGGGTTTGGTAGAAAGTTCCAGTCCTGGGCTGCTCTGTGATGGACACACTGTGAAATAAAACGATCCACAAACCGATGATCAAGTAGATGCCAGATATAACTTGAGGGAAAACAACCAAGGAATGCTGTTATGATGAGTAATTATCGACTGGAAACTGTAAGAAATAAAAAGCGAATTCCTCTAAAACTGAGACAGTCCGCCATATTGTGACGTAACCGACAACACCCATAACAAAAGAGGGGCGGGGGTGACTCGAATTTGGCAAGTCAAGAAATGTGTATAGAAATTTTATTTGTAAACGTTATTAACTCTGTGGCGGTAATTTATGGCCGAACGTTGCTGTCAAAGCAGCGCAAAGTAAAGACAGTTACTTTCGCTTGCATCACAATAACTCTTACAACTAAAATTGTCACACGTAGATTGCCGTAGAAAAGATGACAGGCTGAGTGGCGCATGCGCAGGACATGGGACGGTCCGAATTGGGTAGTGACAGTGCGGAGTCATGAAAGTGTTTGTAAACAACTCACTCAGTAGGTAAAGCTGAATTCATTCGCTAACTGTTCACTTTATGACTTATCTGACTCAGCTGCCACAGTTATATGATTTATAGACTTGTATTCTTCTCATCCTTTATAAATTGTAACTAGTTAAACACTGTGGTTCGGCAATCCGTGAGCTAGCAAGCATCTCTCTTTGTAGTAATATTAGCTTCTCTTAGCTGGGATGCAAGCTTTTGCGGTCAAGTTGGTAGCCATAAACATGCTAACCGGCTAGTTAACAGAATAATGGTGTCATTGTTGAAACACCAGTGGCTGGACGTCAAGGATTTTTTTTTATTCTAGAGAAGAGAGTCGACAACCCAATCCAGTATGTCACAGTGGGCGATATGATTTTTGCCTTGACTTTGTCGGTTTGAAATATTCAGCACAGGACCACATTAAAACGTGCGTGTAAATCAAACGGATTGATCGTCCTTACGTGGAATTAACCACAAACCATGTCGCATGCGTTTTATTTTATAGGTGCAGCAAACTGGAGTCAGATCAAGTCCTTGGCATACACCTGAGTGCCACCACATCCTTCCTTATTCTGCAATACACTACATCTTTTGTCGTTTTTAGATCATCAGGATGACATAACAATAGCAGCAAGTAACAACCTAATGGAAAACACTGATATTTTTAACATTTTCAGCAAATTGTAATCATTTAATTAAGATGCCTTGGCCATTTTCTGAGTCCATCAAAAAGCGAGCATGCAGGTACCTCCTCCATCGGTACCTGGGGAATTTTCTGCAGGAGAAACTAAGTTTGGATCAACTAAGCTTAGACCTTTACCAGGGCACTGGGACACTTGCTCAAGTGCCATTAGATACGTGGGTATGTATCTATCACTTGTTCAAGTGCTATTAGATACATGGGTATGTATGTATCTAATGCATTTTTTGTTTTTCCCAAGTCACTGAATGACCTTCTGGAAACTGCAGATGCCCCCTTTGAGGTAATTACGGGCTTCATTCAGACCATCTCTCTAACTGTCCCTTGGGCAGCCCTTCTTCAGGAAAACTGTGCCCTTGAAGTGAAAGGTTTAGAGTTGGTTTTCAGACCCCGACCTAGAGTTGGTAAGAATAAACTATATTTCACTTTAATATTTAATATGTCATTTTTGTTATTTGGCTTATAAAGGATATGTCTTATTCAGCATCTGGTGTAGAACCTATGAACTGGTCCAGTTTTATGACAAGTAGTATGCAACTTGCCAAAGAATGTTTGAGTCAGAAACTCACAGATGACATTGGGGAGAGTTTCCAACCATTTGAAGGCCTTGAAAAATTTGCTGAAACAATAGAGACAGGTATTTCTTTAGCATTATGTGTGTTCATGTTAGCTTGTTATTTTAATGTAATTATTATGTAAATGTAATAATTAAAATGTAATAACCTTTTCATTATTTTCCTCTTACAGTTCTAAGAAGAGTAAAAATGACATTTTTAAATACTGTTCTTAGACTAGAACACATTCCAGAAAATTCAAAAACTGGAATTGCACTTGAATTAAGGATCAACAAGTGAGTTCAAGTTAAAACAAGTTAAAGTGAAATAATACTGCCTTTAAATAATTATTCTATTGATGTAACCTTTGAGTATTCTGTTTATGCTCTTATTTTGAAATGAAGGATTGTTTACTTTGATGAAAGTGATGATGAGAGTTCAAGTGTCAATGTACATCAACCAACTACATTTGCACACAAAAAGCTTCAGATGGAGGGCCTCACAATATTTTGGGATGAATTCTCTGATTTGTCTCGCGGGGGTTGTAAATCTTCACCCACTCCCGCGGTGAGTGTTGTAATTGTAAAAAATGTAAATATACATAAACATTATTAATTTTACTTTAAATGTTGCTAGGAAACTGAGCCAAAGTTGTCCCCAAGCTGGAATCCTAGAATAATATGTGAGCCTCACCCGCAGTTTACAGAGCCCATATCCTCTGCAACATATTTTGAACCAGTCCAAGTAGGCCGACTTGGGGGTAAACTTGAGCTGTCTCTCACTCTGAAAAATAATCCTGCTATGCCCGGAGCCAAGGTAAACAACATGAAAACGATTGCAAAATTCTATTATTATTCTATAAGTCTACTTACTGTATGTCATTATTTCAACATGTACTTTTCCAGCTGCATGTAGTTGGAGATATCAGCACACTTATTTTACTTTTGTCACCACAACAAGTGCATCTTCTTCTTGACATGTTTGGAACATTTTCTGGCCGAGGTGAGTTTAAGTTAATAATTATATTGCTATGTGAGATTTAAATCAGCATTCTCGTCCTCACTCTTCATTTATTGGAAGTTTCTCAAGAATGGGCTAAGGACAGAAAGAACCGGCCTATTCAACAGGAGGATGAATACCGACTTCATATGGAACTTAATCGTTGTCTAAAGAAAGACACCATTGCACCTGGAACAGATCATGAACTGTTTGAGAGCCAGACTACCAAAACAGTGTCCAGTCGAGGTTTGTCTTACACCTAATTTAATCATACTGATGTTATTCTAACTGTTGAGTTTAATTGACTGTCTTTGTACAGATGATGTGTTCTTCTCCATGGCTGACATGGACATGTCTCACAGTTTATCCTCCCTTCCTCCTCTGGGTGAACCACCTACTGTCGACTTGGACTTGTCTCTCAATAGCAACTACTCTGCTTCTTCTAGAGAATCCCCTTCTGGCAATGCCACCGTACGTTCCACCAACACAGCAAACTTAATAACAAATATTTAATAACATAGTTTTGTATGTTACAAGGTCTCCTGGGATGACTACATGGATGTACCACGACAAAAAGAGAAGGCAACCAGTGAAACTCCTGTCCAATCAAGAGACTCGCACATTTCACAGAAGTTACCCAGACAAACCTGTAGGTATTAGAGCCAATGAAAGAAAAAAATATGAATGACATATTGCTATTCATTAAATTGTCTTAACTCATAAAATTATTTTAATAGTGTTCATCTTCTCTGTTTAGCTCATCCTTCTAAAGCCTGTGGTGATGAGTCGAGGCCTGAGCTGGTGCTAAAGCTAACACTGAGTAGTCTGGCGGTTGCAGTCCTCCACATTGATCCACTGCCATCACCAGATGCAGCTCCTTGTCCTCTTGGTCCAATAGCAGCACACTTTTTTAGTACGGTTGAACAAGACCAGCCTCACCATGTATCTTTCTTTCAGACTCGAGCTGTGTTTAATAATGCTTGTCCACATGACCACCTCAGGTGAGAATACAAGACTACTCTGACATTACATGCACTTGTGATTAATCAGATATTCTGACCTATACTAATTATGCTAATGTATGCAGGTTGGTGAGTCATGGTTTGAAGATAAATTATGAACATTATCAAGGCTCTAATTTGCACACATATAGCACTGATGTTTCCCTCAGTCAAATGGAGCTATTGGAGTGTCTTTTCCCTTGTGAGGCTGGCCATAGTGGTTTACAAAGAGGCATTCAATATACTGAGGTTTGTCTGACAAATACTCTGTGTTAGTCAAACTCTGCATATTTACATACAGAGTGAATGAAATTAAACTGTGTTTTTTTCTGATTTGTCTGCCACACTCTGCCACGCAGCTCCTGACATTTGACACCCCAGCCGATGCTGAGGCGCAGCTCACCACCTGCCTCCACCTGCTGTACAAACTGGCGGAACGCAGAGGCCCACAAGTAAAAGCCTTCACCCTAAACCAAAAACATGACACACTTCCTCATTTTCTGTTATTTTGTATATTTTTATGTTTTTTGTTTGTGCAGGGAGGCCAAGTGCGTCTTAGTACCATCCCCAGAAAAGCTGACATCCAGGTTGAGCTAGGCCATGCACACTCTGAACTGGACATCAGCATTGTGGATCGTCTGAACTCCTTACTGCAGCCTCAGAAACTGACCACCACAGAAGTGATGGCTTCACACATGTACACATCATATAATAAGCATGTTAGCTTGGTAAGGACATCGGGTGTTGAACTAATTTAAGCACCGGTTTGACATATTCCTATAATATCTAATCATTCCACAGCACAAAGCCTTTACAGAAGTTTTCCTTGATGAGAGTCAGACACCTGCAAACTGTCATGTGTCTCTGACTGTCACCGCCCCAGTCCTAGGCCTCGCAGTGCGCTTTCCCATTCCTGATTTACGCTCGGATCAAGAGAGGGGGCCTTGGTTTAAGAAGTCTTTGCAAAAAGAAATACTTCACCTGGAGATGGAGGACTTTGAAATGAAAACTGAGTTTAAGGGGGGCAGCTCTCCAGACCAAACAAAGATGGAGCTTACCTTCAGAGAGCTTACAGGTCTTACTTTGTTGTTGGTTTATAAAAATAATCTGAATGAAAATAGATCCTACATTCATAACATAATCATAATGTCTCTTTAGGTAAATTTCAGGAAGAACAGGAACAGCCAGCTACACATTTTCTGAGGGTGTCAAACACTATGGATGGTGACCTGACCACATCGACAAGTGTTAAATTTGATTGGCCCAGGTTTGTTCATTTCTCTGCTTTAAAACAGTTTCTCTTGTGAGATGTTTTTCGCATAGTTTCTTTTCTTTAACCAGGATTGTGCTGAAGATGAACCCTACAGCGGTGCACTCTATTCTTGAAAGAGTCACAGTTGAGGATGATGAAGGAGCTGAAGACCATTCCCTTGAAGAGGAGGAGGAGGAAGGGGCAGCTCATTCCCTTAAAGATGTCTGTGACTTTGGGAAACCAGAACCATCCCCCT